GAGAGTAAAACAAAGCATCTCAGGGCCAGTGACCCATTTAACTTCAGAGGGTGGACGATTCTGGGAGAACAGTGTTTTTCACTGTTCTCATGAAGAGTCAGCAACATCAAAACACTGTATACGCTACACGATATACTAAGTACGTCCACAAAGCGGTCTATTTAAGAGATTTAACCATTTATTTCACCTAAATAGCCAACATTTGTAACCTGTGTGTGCCAGGCACACAGACAGTTTCCACACAGGACTGCCAAGCCTCTGCTCTTTCTGAAGATCTACAACCAGTTGAATATAGGTTTGTCTTGGCTCTGTCTAGCCTGGTTTTGGGAATACTCACACATGCACTCCACGCAGCAGGTCCAGAATGCCCTGACCATTCCACTGCTGTGCTGCCTGCAGCTCTTCTGTGCACACACCCACAATCTGCAGAACAAAGAAAAACACATAATTAGCACTTTCACACTGAGACATTTGCATAAAAGGACACACTTGACAGCTACTCCTTCCCTAGCATACACGGCCTGTTCCAAAGGCTCCAGAGATCCTGCCACACTAACCTCATAATAGAAAACATGAGGATAGGAAAAAACAACTACAAGGTAGTTTGGAGGGGTGGGTCACAAAGCACCTTGAAAATGCTATCCAGAACAGGTTGTGTGTGTGCATTTGTACTATGCACCAATTACAAAGAGAATATAGTGCAATCACTTATTGGTAGAAAACATGCAGTACCTGACAAAAATGTAGCAACTTACAGGTACTGCATTTTACTGTGCCTCAAAGCTTAACAAACGTGACCGTTAGCTAATGGTATGCTAACAAATGGCAATTTTTTTCCTCCTTCTCTTTAATTAAAATCAAAAAGTTTTACATATCAAGAAAATGTCACTTGTTAATAAAAGGGTATGTCAGATATAAAGAAAAAGCTGAATGAATTGATTTGACTAGATTTGACATGCCTAATACTAATAAAAATTAATGAACTACATAATTACAATGCTATTAATGCTGACTAACAGATTCTTAGTCGAATTTGAATTAATCATTTTGGTCATTTACTTTCCATAAAACTACCAACGCTGTGATTTGCAGTTCTTATTTTCAAAAACCATTTTATGAACATAGTGAGTTGCTGTTATGCAAATTTTCAATTCAGCTAACAATTCCTTGCTGTTACATTACATTTGCTTTAACACATTCAGCACAAGGTGTTTTATAACCACAGTATAAACAAACTATGAACTAAAAATGCGCTTTCCTGAGCGCATTTCCAGAGTTTTTTGCCCTTGAATAAACCAAAGTAAAAGTAACAATTACAGCTGTTTTCTTGCCAACAGATCTGGAGTGGAAACAAAATCTCTTTCAGAGAAAAACGATGTTCAGTAGCTTACAAGAACTATTATGAAAACTGCATTGATTTTTGTAATAATATTGTTAGAATGCTATAACGAACTGTTCACTGGATTTCCAGCCCAAAATAACGATATCTGGTAATCCATGACTTCTCTGTATCAAAGCTGTTTTGGAAGATGTAATATATTTGTTGATGCTGTGCAATGTCTATGCTATTTGTATTCTCTCCCTTTACTAAGCTCCTACAGTACAGCATGAAATGAGAAGTCTGATTTTATTATGTGACACTCATACTAGTTATTGTATGTAGGCAAATCCTTGTGGAATAAGATGACTGCCTAATAAATTCTGCTTCATAATACATCTCACTTATTAGGTTTGCAGGGAGGTCTAAGACTATGCAACCTGTTTCACATTACAGTTGCAACTCACCTGAAGGAAGCTAACAAGTCCAAATGGGGTCTGCACTGGTTGCATCTGGGGGTCCTCTGTAAGCAGCATGTGCTGGATTCGGGACTCACTGTTGTCTAGTGGGCTGTGCCATGAGATGTGATCGCCACTGCAGAATGTGTTTTCTGTTCTCCAAAAGCACAATAAATATGAAGGGCTAAACATGGTATGTAAAAGTTCACCAAAATAAAATCTCTTAAAAACTCCTGATAAAAGGACCAATAAAGACATGCTAAACCTTTTAGCTGTCTACAACAGAGTGCATTAAAATTAGTATGAATTTTATAACTCTTAATACCATTTTCTCTGTCTTAACTTCTTTAGGTGCCAAAATGACTTAGCAGGCGGTCATCTATAGTGTTTTTCTAGTGGGCAGTGCAGTATAGCACAATAGGATACAAATCCAGATACACAATTATCAGTACCCTGCTCAAGTACAAGTACAACAGAACTGTGAAAGTATGCAGCGTTTTCTTCAGCTTGTTTGGTCACATGAATTCTCATGCAAACCTAGCATTAACAGTAAAAATGAGCAAAAGTCAAACAGCAGTTCTGGCTGGCTTATGTTTTTATTTTATTTTATTTTTTTTAAATGGTGGTCATCTGACTTCAGTGATACTGTGTGACAATTCTGTGAAGTATGTGTCTTACAATCGATGGTTTGCACCATTTTTAGCTTCAGCCATTTTTCCCCTCTCAGCATGCTTGGTATCCCAGCAAGAAGGGTAATCAAATTCAGCATGAGGATGGTACGGTTCACATGGCAGTGGAAATGACAATGAAATACGTGTTTGTAACCATTCCGTACTGTCCGGTGGAAAAACTCTACTAGAGTCTATCAGCATAAACTGATGCCATCTGTGATCAAAGCTGAGAACTGTAGCCCATTCTAACCACATCCTCATCACATATAAAACAACAAAAACTCTAACATCAGAGTTTGAGACGTTTTGGTAATTGTCAGGAGAAATTATGTGCTTCACAGTGAGTCACTTCACTGTTTACACAAAAAATCTCAATTAAATCACTAGTTTCTCTTTTCTTTTCTTTTTTTTTTTTTAAGTCAAAGACATTCTGAATAGTGAATAACCAGTTCTATAGTACTGTTTTCTGGTCAACCCCTGCTTCAGCCATTTCTGGTTTACTAGGACCTAAATGAGGCCCTACAGTAAAAAAGTCTTTTAAGATTAACAAGCAGCTTCATACCTGATTGAAAGACATAACGGGCTAAACCCTGCATGAGCTCAGCTGGCCAAGTGGGGGGTGCCGTCTCCCCGGCCTCTCTCTTCAGTCGAAACGTAAGTTCAAATCCAAATCCACTTGGACCATCTGGACCCGTGAATCTATGAAAACAAAAACATATTCATGTGTCTCACTCTGATCTCTGACATGATTTTTTTAACCATAAATTACAAGAAACAATAACCAGTGTATAGAGTTTGGTAATACATTTTTTACTGCCAAATTATAAAAACACATTCTGGGAGCATTAAAACAAGCCAGTATAACCTAAGACACTAAAGTGGCTCTGATGTCAATGCTTTGTAACTGGACAACTGCACAGAATCTACCTCATTTACTCTTTGTGCCGTTAATCATTCTTCTCAGTAATCTAAAATTAAATATAGCAGCTGTGAGCATGAAGTCCTCCCATTAGTACACTTACTCATGAACTCTGTTGTCTCCATACAGATCACTCAGGCCGAGACTGACATAGTGCCAGTGTTCCTGTACGTCCAGAGCAGGGCATCCCACGTTTCTGTACATGCTAATGTAGTCTAGGGGATCTGGTCCCCCTAACCTGTGCCAACATAATTAAAGGTCAAAAACAAGGGTGAGCAAACTGGTTTGAGAAAGAAAACTGTTCCAGCTTCTGAGAAATGTTTCAATTAAACATATGCGCTACATAGGAAAGAAAGTTCAGCGAGTTTCTAGTTAATGTTACTACTGTAGTCTAGTTAACTAGATAGCTACAGCTTGGACACTAACGTAATTGTTTTAACTGCACACAGAAGACTAAAATTACCGCTGCTTAAACAAAACATCTCTGCAGCTAAATGCTAGCTAGTACGCTAGCTAACCAAGTTAGCTCGCTACATCGAGTTAGCGATAATGTTCCTTAAAGCTAAGATAACGTTAGCTCATCTCTTCTCCCCGAATTTGAACCGCTTTGATAACTAATATTTTTCTCCAAACGGAACAAACACACACGTCATAAATCCATACCAGTATTTAACGATGGCGGTGACCTGCAGTGGGTTTGGCTGGTCGGGATAGATCCGCCTGCTCTCCCCATAGATGGCCTGCAGCCCCGGGGGGAACAGCGACGCGAGGCCGAGGTGGGCGCCGCTGCTAGGCCGCATTTCATCCATCCTGCACCGCGACTCTCACGAAGAGTGTGAAAGTCTTCAGAAAGCAAGTAATTTGTGATGCTTCCACAGGAAAAATGACAAAAAAACGCTTTCAAGTAAATATTCGCGCTGGAAACGTCAAATGTCGTGAATTTCCCTCATGAGTATTTGTCTTTTAAAACCCACTCGGGCCGTTTCCCTCAGGGTCTGAGGGATTGGTGGGGGCGGGGCCTCTAGTTTTGATTGGCGTGCCTTCTGTCCGATCAGAGTGGTGAGATCGAGCGGCACTGGAGAAGAACGGCGCTGTGATTGGAGAATAGACTCGAGAGTTGCTGGCCTTCTCATGTTTCATTAAACACTTCGTTTTTCAGTTCAGTAAACGAGTAAAAAGTTTTTCGAAAGAGACAGCAGCTATTACCTTCATTTCATTATGCAGATTATACGAAGTTAAAGCTGTAGCTCGCTGAAATAATGTATTCATGATCAAATTACATTTATTAAACCGCATCAGAATGTTGTTTACTGTGGGAAATCAGGTGACTTCAAACTCCCACTGTGAAGACAACATTTCCATAATATTTTTGTTCTCATAGTTCTGTAGTCAGACATTAAACTTGTGGACTCTTCTTAGACATGCTTTACATTGTAGCAGCTATTCATCTGTGGGAGAAATAGGCGCCACCTACTGTTTATTTGTGCGATGTAACATTTGCATACGGTCTTATCATTATGATGGGCAGTAACACACGGAGTGGATTTCTGGTGATCAATAAACACCACTGCTGCTTGTCCCAGACTACAGCAAATATAAAGTTACGTTGTGTGGTCTTTTATCTCCCTGCGAACAGCTTGTTTACCTGCTGCTTAGATACTGAAAAGCTCTGAGCAATTTGTGGGAGCTGACAGAGGAAACCGTACTCATTTACAACCATTCCAGGACTGAAGAAGAGTTTTGAAATGGGTAACTAAGTTGTCTTATTAATGTTCAGTTAATTTCATTATGAGTTTGATTGTGAAGCGCTGAAATTCAGCCTGTTGAGTTGCACTCTTATTCTGAATTATTTGTGTTAGTCATATCCAGTTTCTGAGATATATTGTTCATGTTCAAAAGTAAAATTTATTGCAGAATATGGTCATTTATTTAGAACCAACGTGCATCTCTGTACTGAACACATGTCTGTACTGAACACTGTATGTTTTTTGCAGGTATTACTTTCATGTCTACCCATCTTTGGATTAGCATTGATTTATTCATTCCAAGCAGATCATGAACTTCCATCATCCTTACATGCATCATTATTATGGTCCTATGTTCTTGGTTGCTCCAAGGTGCGAGGATCTAACAGCCACTCCCAGCCACAGTACTCCAGCGGCGACCATCCTCACGGAGAACATCATAAGTCCTCAGGACAACGTCCTAGAATACCACCATTATTATGGATCGACACCAGCTTTTCTACCCAGCCCCTGGTATTTGTGTTACCCTCATCTATGTACACATCCTCACCTAAACCTGCCAGTAAACAAGACCCCTCAAGGCAATCCTCCTGACCCCCAGGATGGCTCATGGCCTGAAGGCTTCACAATGAGAGGTGAGCTTCGCTGGGGGATGCTGGAGAGAGTATTTGGAGTCAGCCGGGAGCTTCCAGACTTTGTGAAAGAGGACCTGCGGCGCGTGTATGGTACCTACCCCAGCACCGGTGTGAGCATTAGCTATCACAGAGGAGAATTTGTGGTGCGGGGAGACCCGCGGGTAGGGGAACAGGAGTACCGGGTGGAGAAGAAGGTGGTCCGAAAAGTCGAGAGCCCACATTATGGGGAGAGTATGAATGAAATTGTCAAAAAGGAAAAGAAGAAGAAAAAAAGAAAGAAAGAAAAATGACCTAATAAAAGGGCAAGGTTGTCCATTGTTTTCTTTTTATTTGTTGACTTTGTTTATTTGTATTTTGAAAAAAGTTGTATTTTACTAGACAGATTTTCACAGAAGTGGGCAGAAGCTTATCAGTGAACGTGGGCCAGGATTGTTGCGTCATTTATTTTGAACCCGATAAACCTTTGTGTGCTTTGAGCCCAGTCATTGTGTGTCGTTTCCCCAGAAAAGTAGGAATCATTTTTTAACTTAAAGTTAAAAAAAATATTGATTTACTATTTACTATAATTATACAAAATTATGTATAAAGTGTGTTTTTTAAAGCAAATCATACTGTTTTCACCTGTCTGCCTCGTCAAGTCTACACCATTTCATGTGGTTCGAGCGACAAAACATATCACACTATACCTATTTCATAATTTTACACTGTATTTTATCTCAGATGATTTCATGGATTGTCATCTACTGCTGTGGGTGGTGAGTATTCTTGGTATGGTGTCCATGACTTCCAGTTTCCATGGAATGATCCTGAGTCATTTACCAGGAGCCAGAGATAAGACATATTTGTGGTCAGTGTGTGGGTGGACATGTAACGTTTGCATACTTTAACTCACATTTCATTACTGTACGCCTTCTTGGCAATAGTATTTGTACATACATGGACTTTGTCAATAAATGAAACATTATGTACATGATACACACTGTCCAGCATCCAAAGTTTCCTCGTCTTGGTAGGAAAGTATTGTATCCATGTGACAAGCTGTGTAAGAGTTACACTTTCAGGTGCCTTCTCCATAAACGAGTACACCGAACGACTGACTGAAAAGGTGTGGTTCAAGTTAAGGAAGTTAGAAAAGTAATGTGTGTGTATTTCTAAGACCATTTGACTAGCACACCCACTCACATTCCCACTCATAAATGCAAAGTGTATATCTCACAGAAGTGCAGTGACTGTGATAAACTGGTAAAAATGAGAAACAGTACAGAATTTGTTTAGCAAATGTATTAAATTTCACTTTTACAAGCATTTAAAGGCCAGCATATTTCTCATGAAGGCCTACAACAACAACAGCAAAAAAAAAAAAATCTTCACAAAACATTTCCTTCAAATAAGAAAAAAATAAGATCTCAAAACATCTTAATACACCAAATCCAATATAGATTGTTCATCTATAGAGAGGTTGAAGATCGAGAGCACACTGCCAGAAGAACTGAGCCCATAGATGAGCTCCTCATGACCACCATCTATGGAATTCAGTTCTCAGGGCCAAGTGCTCAGGAGAACCGTATATCAGCCAAAGTTCTGGACTGTTAAGAAGAAACTGGCCTCATATCTTCAAATGGATCATGTCGCTTAGTAACAGTAAAACATAATGGCATTATGTAATTGTACATTGAAGCAATTTTTGATGTTCTGTGAAAAAACCTATGAAAAAATGAAACATTGTCCTTATTATGTCAGTACGCTCCAAAATATGAACAGAATACAAGATAGTTTCAACATATTACTTTCTTCTAAGCGTACTGAGTGCAGAGTTTAGGGCAATAAGCTGTTTCAGGGAATCACTGCTGGAATCACATTTGTTGCGCTGAAAACAGGCCTTACCGCTCCTCAAATTCAGTCTAACATTTTGACAATTTTCAAGATCGTCAGTGCTAAATAAAGCTTTTTCTAGCCTGCGACAATTGTTTCGTTGTCCTATTCGGCCCCCCTGCCAGAATAAGTGACATGACGTTTATTTTCTCAATGTTATCTCAATCACATATTTGTTTAATGTTTGATCATTACTGAATTCCTGAGACAGGCACATTGCAATTCATGTCCTCATCTGAGGTCTAGCCACACCTGAAACGTTTCAGGAAATTCTTTCTTTCCGTTAAATGGAACTGAACCAGTTGAACTGCCTTAATAAGAGCCTTGTTGGAAACCCCCCATAGGAGTCCAAACAAGATCCATTATCTGCTATGACAGAAGGAGATCACACAGAACAGGCCGTATCAGGCCATATGTACAAATGATGAAATAGAGTCAGATCATTCTATCAAATACTGTCAGTCAATGCTCTTATCTGACATTAAACAATGAAACGAAGTGTAAGTTATACTGTGCAAAAAATACAAACTAAAAAAAAGGTGTTAGAAATAACTTCTAAAACAAGGATACAAGGATGAATTGTTTTGGTTCCGCCATTTAGTTATTTCTAGCTTATCTCAAGCAATATCAGTTAATGATTTATTCATTTATCTGCTTTCAAATAAGAGCTATTTTGAGTATCGCATACTCACCTATGAGATCTCATCCCAGTTTGACACAATGCTCTTTATAGGTCTCCTTTTTGGAAACGGCTCCTGCTTCAATATCCACTACCACTTAACCATAAGCAGAGTTGCTGGCAGAGCCTCCAGGGCAAACACCCATAAGCAGCCTCTCAGTCCAAGACCTGCTCTTCTTATATATGACCTCTAAATTCTTTCAACTTAAATACCTGCGTCCCTCCGTTTTTCTGCCCCTCTCATGCACACACGCTCACTCATGCTCTCTGAGTACGGTAAGCCTGGCAGTCACTTCCCAGTAAGAAGGAAGCAGTGGGAGGGAGTCTCCCGCCCCCTCGTAATGAATCAATACACAGCGCTTCTGAGGAAAAACATCTCACTGGTCCGGCCCTCAGTTCCCATAAAACAAAAAAGGGAAAAGGGGAGAGGAGGAGAGAAAGAGAGGGGGGAGAGAGAGAGAGAGAGAGAGAGAGAGAGAGAAAGCTTACTCGCCTGTGTAGGAACCAGGAATTCCCCTATTGCAAAAGAGTGGTTCCACACGACTAGAGGCGACACAGCACGAGCCGAGAGAAACCGAGACAGTCTTAACACATCTGTTTTTCCAAAGAGGAAATGGAAATCATACCTGATGAACACTCATTTGCAGAGTCATGTTTACTGTTACTGCTCCAGCACAATGAAAGAAAAAAAAAAAAGAAACGAAGAATAAACAGTTCAAGTTTCCTCATATGGAAGTTTCTGCTGATTGATACATGTACATTGCATCATACTGAGGTGTGGTGCTAAAACCATGAACACACTTCTTCCACCTTCCCACACTCTCTACTTCCATGCTACTGCTTACTGTAAGGTGAAGTCATGGAATGTTTTCACACTCTGCTTACTGACACACTGATGTCTCATTTGATTGGCCAATTCTGAAATCACAATGGAGATAATAGAATTGTTGCGCACCCCTCTTTTCTTGAAATGAAAGAGCAGAAAGTTGCTGATAATGCAGTGTGGTGGGTAGCTCATACCAAACGTCATGACTTTGGTTGTCACGCTGATTCAGCCTCACGTCTATTAAGGTTAATGTGCGTTCATACAAAGATATTTACTCTGCCACAACAGGTAGACCCCTGTGAATCATGTTGAGTATGGAAAGCTGGCAGTAGCTGATGTTCCGTGATGTTCAGTGAATGAATTTCGACAGAAAACTTCCAGAAATAAAACTGCTGCTTAGATTATGGACTAAGGCCTCTACGGCCTTGTCTTGTTTGTCTTTATAGCACCAAATAATTCCATTATAGTTTTCGATACTGCAGAAAATGACATCTTGGCAAGTGAAATCATTGGCATTTCTCATTTTCAGATTGTTGTAAGGTTATTTTACTTACTTCCAGACCCATTTTACTTTTTTAAATAATTTTTTCAAGTGAATCGTACTATACTGACCGCATATTTCTTGAAACAAGCATTGTAGTGAGATAATTCAGCTTGAAAAAAAAAGACTTTAAACATGTAAAGAAGTAAGATAAACCTTTTACATTCTTACAATGAGAAATATTAGACATATCCGCTAGGTTTAAGTTGATTTCACTTGCCAAGATATCATTTTTTTGCAGTGTAGATTCCTGATACTCTGTTAACAAATATGAATTTCAAGCATGTTCAACGTAACTGCTTGTGAAAGACCATCTTTTATGAAATGAAGTTTCTGGAAACATGTGACACAGCTGGGAAGGACAAATATAATTTCTGGCGTAATAATTTTACTGTAATCCCTAGTGTGACAATCCTGATCAGCAGTCAATGAAAAAAAGAACTTAAAGAAATAGTTTCACAATTTTCTTTTAATGACGCTGGAATAGCTGTCTGCCATGCTGAAGAGTCTAGACTATTTCACAACATGCCTTTCCTCATAACTCACTTCTTGCGTTGAGAAGCAAAACCATCTACCCGGTTCTTAGAAAGCGCGCAGTGTGAGGAGAGCCTGGGGTCAAACCATCCGTGTGCAGTGACTTAAAAGCCCAGGGCAACAATGAGGGAATCTACTTTCAGAGAAAATCCTTCTGCTGGTAGGATAAGTTGCAATTGACATTTTGCACAGGACTTCAGAAACAGTCGTGGCTTTCATGCTGCTGTTTGAACACGGGGGAAATTGGCTGCAAAGGTCACTGAGCCCATTTCCTTTCCCCCCATGCTCACAGAGACAGACCTTTACAGCACCCGTTGCTTTTTACTTGCACTTTAACCGATAGTCACCACATTGAAACGCTCTACATGTGTGTTCTGTGAGGGTGTAGGTTACCCAAGGGGAGTGCTGAGAGGATTTTCCTTCCCCTCACGCAGTGCTGACCTCTCTCTGGTATCACTCTTGTTCCCAAAAAGCTCAGTTTCGGTTTGAGAAGGATGACTAATCAGGAGAAAAAAAAAATACATGCACATTTTGAAATTCACCATGGTGGGCTCATGCTTTTCCGGTAAGCCATTTAGGCTCTAAAAGATTACACATGGCCTAATTTGGAGCTTAATGTACACTGTTACTGTGACTGTTTTACATCAACTCCTGTCCTCCAACTCAAGTAAGTCCTGATTGAACCTATTCATATTCATTCATTTACTTCAAAACTGAAGTCTTAAAGCCTTATCACACATAGACAGACTGCACGTCCCACACTGCACCTCCATGTAGACTATCTTCTCCATGAATCATCAGACACCAGTTACATTACAGTGCTTCTTGTCTTTGTTTCCCACAGTCTTTCACATTGCCAGCATTTGGTGGAACTGTTTGACGTGTTCAATTGTTCAGTTTGTCTCTCTGCTGGTCACAATGAATTACCATCACGTCAGGATAGGAAATGACCTCCAGTGTGAACCTGACCATTGTACAAAAGAAGGGAATTTTGCATCAAACACAGTCCAAAAGAGCCTTCAGTAGGCCTAGGTTAAATGTTGCACGTAGTAATAAATCCTTATTATCACTATTGTTATCAACAATTAACATTTTTCTTAATAAGTCCCAATGCTTCATCTATACAGAACATTATTTTTAAAGTGCTATTAAAACAATGACAACCTTTATTTTTTGCTCAGCGACGTAACGATACTCACAAAAGTGCTCAATTTTTCTGCTTAATCTGCTCAATCCAAGGTTATGTTCCTGCTCGACAGTAGGTGGCAGTAAATGCGCAAGTAGAATTCAGTTCAAAGTATAACGCGCACTTACTCACTTCCCCTACTCCCTTCTCCTCGATAAAAGGGAATAAACAATAAACAACCCCCTGGTTATACGCACAGCGATGATGTTGCCAAAGCTTTTTTTCGTACAGCCTTTTAAACAGGTCTAGACTACAGTAGTCAGCATTAGCTGCTAGTTGGAAACCGTCGCAACAGACACTTCCAATCTTCTACGGGGAAGAGAGTGAGGGAACATGTGTCTGAATCGGACGCGCCCATTTCTCATTCCACAGGAAGAAGAAGAGCTGAAATGTCAGACTCGTTCCTCCGTTTCCTCCTGTCATTAGTCTCCAAAACAAACTTGGCAGTGACACTTGTACGGTCTAGTTTGCTGGTATGTCGAGTACAGGTTGTCGTTCTGCTCTCATGTTTGTTTACTGTTTGAAACGTTTACCTTTTGGAGGAACTGAAAACTTCTACCTCACTCTCGGTGTGAGTGAGCAGGCCGTGATGACATACACTCGCAGTCTGAGGCTTTACTGAAGCGACTGACTGAACGACACTGGCTTGCAAGATAAGCAATAAACCTTATTTTAAAACTAGAGGTGCTGCTTTATGTTTTCTTATACTTATCAGACGTGTAAAGTAACCCTGAAACAGGAGGACTGAGCTGGACTGGCCTGCACCGAAACCACACCGAGGACCAATGCGATAAGAAGAACATTTGATTTGAGCGCTACATTCACTTAAAAGACAACCAGCAAGCAAGCGGACGACTGACAGCCCGACTGGATGAAGCTTTTCGAGAACAGTCCTCGCCATCCTCTGTCCATGATGTGACACAAGCCTCGTATGCTCGCTTGTTAGCTGCCAAAGTTGGCCTTCGTGAACATGCTGCGCCTGGAGGACGTGGCCAATGTGGTCCTCAGGGTGCCCAGCATCATCGTGCTGGACCTGCTCTATAAATGCGACATCGAGAGCTTCACCTATCACCTCAGGGCGAGGAGTGAAGACATGCTCTTCAAGTACAAATACGTCCTGTGGAACCTGTACTACCTAGGTACAAGTTTACATCCAGCTCTTACTGTTATTAGAGGTGGGCGATGTGGGGAAAAAACATAGTATCACGATACTTAAAGAAGTTTTCACAATACACGATGCCATGATATTGACATTGAGTGTGTTTACATGCATTTAATAATCTGATAACTGCAAAAAAAAGTCAGATTTTGTCAGTAATCCGAGCAGTGATGCATGCAGTTGAGTGTTCAGGTAATGGTGAAACTCCAGGTCTACATGAGTCAGGCAGTAATTGGATTTCTGCTTTGCAACCAGCCAGTAAACTCACCGAAAAAGACGTGATCTAAACATAGTGTAAAGCTCAAACTACATGCCGTGGCTTTTTTTTTTTTTAAAACATCGAGCCACTTTACCTGAAAATGTGAACACACGTCATCTAGAAGATGAGGAATATTTAAATCATTCATTTCATCAAGCATGTAGTCGATTTCTCCAAAAGTGTTTTGCTGCGTCTCACGACAACACTGCTCACTTATTTCCGGTACCGCTTATTTCGCACATGCGTCGACTGAGAAATCCGAAAGAAATCAGCGTAAGAGTTTACATGCACTGAGAAATCTGATTACACCCGTCTCTCTTTATTGGATTTCTTTATCAGACTTCTAGATCTTACTCCAATCTAAGTAATCAGAGTTTGCTGTTTACATGACCATTTGAATAATCAGATAACTGCAGAAATCCGATTATTGAGTGCATGTAAACGCACTCATCGATAAACTGGAAAAGACAAAATAGTGCCACATTTAAAAATGCTATCAAAACTGAATACAATGCGTTTTATTCACATACCATGCAACACTAAATCCAGTAAAAAAGGACTAATTATACTGTCTTTATAATTAAACATGCAGTTGTAAAGTCTTTTTAGTTATTTATGATATTCAAGATATGCTCAGAAAAGCTTGTAACATAATCATAGAATATAACACATATGGGTCATTCTACAGAAACGTCCACTTTTGTATCTATCCATAGGTGTCACTGGTGTTACCAATCCTCAGTGTAACACATAAGAAAGGTAACACCAGTGACATTTTTGATGAAAAATGCATTTTATAAAATGGCTGCTACAGAGCGTCAAACCACATGCTGTCAGTCATGGAATATCCACTAAAATATGTAATTTAATCCATTTGTATTCTATTTTTTCACAATTACCTAAGAATAAAGTAGGTCACACCAGTGACGTCAACTAACAGCTTCATATGAAATCATGAATCCTCAGAAATTAGATAAAGGGAAGTCAAGTGATGTCATCAGTGTGATTTTTATTTCAAAATAAGAGATTTTTTGTTATGCGGTAACACTGGTGACACGACTCCCAGAGACAACAACTTTCATTATATTTTTATAATATTTATTTGGCATTTGTTTTCTTTGTCAGTTAATTCATGTATTTCATAGCCATGTGTAGATTATTGCAGTTAAAATAGCAGAAAAACATGTTTTTTTTCTTCAAAATATGGCCTCACCCTTCACACATGACTGTGAGGATGAGCACTTCTGTGGTGCTTGGAATTCTAGATATTTGATTTAAAAACCAATATTGCTGAATTGATGGCTGAAAAAGGTGTAATTGTTAAAAAAAGTATTGTTTTATTTTAAAATATAAATAAATTATCAAATAAAGAGTCACATGCTGTCAAATATTATGAGTACAATGTGAATCGCTTAATGGCGCAGACTCCCTCACATTTAGCAGGCTGAAGATTCTCCACAAGGAGGCGCTTTGCATCAGTGACGCTGTAAATTTGTTATTCAGCATTTCACGTACTGCAGTGCAGTAAAACTGATCGAACAGCCCATTGGTCTTCTCTTTTTGGGATCCTTTTTGTTTTAAACACAGGTTCCCAATCCCAGTCCTGCACATTTTTATGCTTTTCTGCTCTAACACCTGCATTAAGACAAGGACTTATTAATTAGCTGATTAATTGGATCAGGTGTGTTAAAGTATTGGGAACACACTGTTCTCTAGGATCAGGGTTGGGAACCACTGGTGTGAAATAAATGATAAAGCTTGACAGCGAGAAAGCTGTGAGAAACACAAAGCAGTCCAGGAATCAACAGAACTGAAATAAACCCCCTATAATAAATAAAAAGATATTCACTTCCACATGAGTTAAAGTGTGAGCCTTTGCAAAAACCAAGAAGATTACAAATCTTTCAATTCTATACTTAATGACATGGAACTGAGTAAACTGAAATAGATAAAATGAATACCCTGCTGACCTTTGTTGGTTGACATTCCTTTCAAATACTATATGTCCACAGGTCACTTAGTGAGTACGGTAGTCCTGTTGTTGCCACTTGGACACATTGTGCAGCTCTATCTGCATATTCTCACTGCCCTTCTGCTCTACATGGGCCATCAGATTGCCAGGTGAGCGCTTCTTCAACTGAAATAGGCAACGAAGATACAACAGAGTTTATTACCTTGTTTTACTGCTGAATATTCTATTCACTACCAATCAGTTTATTCAAACGAAGTCTGCTGTCTCGACTTGCACTTGGCAGACAAGGTCATTTCATGTGGTTATCAGATTAAAAGCACCACCCGTTTAACCTCCTCCTGCTTGTTCCCTGATCCTTAACTGATCAACAACACTGACAAGATCCTGTAAGGCGTTTCCTTTTCTTGAGAAATTTAGGTGAAATTAGTCAGAGGATGGAACAAAACAATAAAATCTTCTTCTTTTTTATTCTCGGATGTCAGTGCATAACCTTTGGATGCCGTTCCACACAAAAGTTAAAAACTCAAAACGGGTTTTTCCTAAATGGTTAGCTCTTCTTGGATACAATATTATGTGTTACCTTACAGTAAAGTTCACATTTTTCCATTGAGAAATTGGAGTGGGTGGTAATGAAGACGTATTAGGTTGGGAACAAACTGAGTGTGAAATTTCTAAATCAGTCCAGTGCCCGACAGGCAACAAACATGACGTTTGCCCTTGAATATAACGTAAGTTACTATGGCTGATAAGTTCCACTTAAAAACTCAAATTAGAACTGTACAATGCTGTGAAAAATTATTTGCCCCCACCCGATTTCTTCTATTTTTGCTACTGTAGCATATTTAAATGTTTCAGATCCTCCAGTTAAATTTGATAAAAACAAACAAAATGCAGCTTTTAAAAGATCATTCTGTTTATTGAAGAAAAAGATTTATTCAAAACCTGTATCTCCTATGTGAAAAAGTAATTGCCCCCTAAACCTAATAACTGGTTGTGCCACCCTCGCCAAAAACAGCTGTAATCAAACGTTGGCGTGATTGTGATGAGTCATTTACATCGCTGTAGAGAAATTCAGGCCCACTCTTCTTTGCAGAATTGTTTTAATTTGGCTACATTGGAGGGTTTTCAAGGAAGAACTGCCCTTTTAAGGTCATGCCACAGCATCTCAGTAGGATTCAAGTCCGGACTTTGACCCTGACTTTGTTTCTTTTGAGCCATTCAGAGGTGGACTTGCTTGTGTGCTTTGGATCATTGTCCTGCTTCATAACCCAACTGCGCTAGAGCTTTAGGTCATGAATAGATGGGCAGACATTCTCCTTCAGGAAGCAGAATTCAGGGTTCCATCAGTTATGACAAGTCATCCAGGTCCTAAAGAAGAAGCAGCTCCCAGACCATCATACTACCACCACCACGTTTGACTGTTTGTATGATGTTCTTATGGTGGGATGTAATGTTAGCTTTAAGCCAGATGTAACGGGACCCATGTCTTCCAAAAGGTTTCACCTTTGACTTATCACAGAATATTATCCTTGCCTTGGGGGTCATCTGGATGTTTTTTGGCAAATGTGAGACAAGCCTTTGTGTTCTTTTTGGTCAGCAGTGGTTTGTGCCTTGCAGCTCTCCCATGGTTGCTGTTTTTGCCCAGTGTCTTTCTTATTGTGGAATAATGTACATGGAACTTGACTGAGGCAAGTGAGGCCTACAGTTCCTTAGATGTTTGTCTGGGTTCTTTTGTGACCTCCTGGATGAGTCGTTGATGCGCTCTTGATAAAATTTTTAGTAGGCCAGCCACTCCTGGGATGGTTCGCCACTGTTCCAAGTTTTCTCCATGGCTCATACTTAATGGCTCACACTGTGGTTTGCTGGAGTCCTAAAGCCTGACTTTATAACCATTTCCGGACTGGTATATTTTAGTGACTTTGTTTCGCATCTGTTTTTAAATCTCTTTAGCATGTGGCATCATGTGCTGCTTTCTGAGAGCTTCTAGCCTGCTTTACATTGCCATACAGGTTCTATTTAAGTGATGTTTAGATCATGCCTGGGTGTGACTAGAGAAATTGAACCCAATAGCCAATTGAATTTAGTTAACTGGTTGATTTAATAGCTAAGTGGGCAATTGCTTTTTCCCCCCAGGTAGGACTGAACAAACTTTTCCTTCAATAAATGAAACCATCATTTAAAAATAGCATTTTGTGTTTACTTGGGTTATCTTTGTCTAATATTAAAAGCAGTTTGATGATCTGAAACATTCAAGTATGTGACAAATACGCAAAAAATAGAAAAAATTGGAAAGGGGCAAATACGTTTTCCCAGTATGTGCGCAGAGAACAAATTACGTATGGTAAAAACAAACATTATTGGGGAAAACCAGTTCTATTAAACCAGATTACACCTTTTTAGATGACAACACTGAACCAAGATAAAAGTTAACAGCGTGGTCCCATCAGCTGTAATTGGCCATTGCATTCACAGTTACTATGATACAACCAGAGTAAATGTGACGTGGAAAGAATTGGCAGCTGTGTCTGGGAAACGAAGAGCTACCAGATTTGCATTTCAGCTGAATGGACTGGGGGGGTCGTTTAAGGGGGACATATCCTTTTTCATTGCAATCCAGCACAAGTGTTTTTTCCCAGACATGTATTCTTGTTACAAGATCAGGTCTGGCTCCACGAAAATATCTGTTATGTAGCAGCTTAGTATGCCACGAGTAAGTTTGAACCTATCACAGTCCAATATATTAAAATATGCTAATGAGAGAATTACGACATGCTGAAAGGAAACTTAAAGCTAGAGAACATTCCTGTGCTAATGTAGCTAACTTAATGTTTGAGATGTTTGCAGTTAATAGTTAGCTAAAACAGAAATAGAAATATTCAGTATTGAGTATTTTAATAAATCTAACTAATAAACTGTTAAATATGGTGTGTAGATCTGCCCTAGTAGAAGTTAGCATTAGCTTAGCATGCTACAGCTACGCTCACCACCATGCCGGTTTGATTCCAGCTCACTGGAGCTTAATTGTCGCAAGTTTAGAGGATAAAGCTAGATAACTTGTAGAGAGGAGAATTACCACTCTGTAATGTCTTCTGGGTTTCTTAAATGCTAGAGGGCGCTCCTGAGCGAGTCCAAAATGAATAGGTTAATATGGATGGAACATTTCAGTAAAATCATAGTTTATAAATGCCTAAACATTTTTAAGATAAAAGAATGCATTCATATCCTGAACACAGCACAGCATAAAACATTTTAACACCGCTGATATATTCTTGAACGCTTTTGAACTCAAGTTATAGACGTTCAAAACGGCGTCTCATTTACGTCCATGAAGTCAGTGATTGTGGACATCCAATGAGCTGCTCCGCTCGCCAACCAGTTAGCACTCAGTAGCAGTAATGCTAACATTGTACTGGCCAAAACCTGTTTGCTGTGGAAAAAAGGGAAACACACAAGAGAGTTTTCTTTGCTTTTTTAGTTAAATACATCCTTCTGCTTCCTAAAATCAAAGAAAAGTTCTGAGCAAGTGATTAGAAACTATTTTAACTTTTTGTTTTTTGCCGTTTAGCTCCAGTCACCCCCCATCGATTGAGGACTCGCTCATGGGCACCCTTTGTTGTTTTGCAGTCATGTTTTTGATATAATGGGGGAAATAGGAAGTGGCCAGGCCTGGCTCTAATAAAGCCACAAATCTGAGTGGGTGAACCTGCTGTTGTGTGTCAAATTAGCTACTCTTGCTCTGCACCATAGAATAGCGTTAGCTTAGTGAGCAGACTTTAACACCTTCACACCCCACAATATAAGTTCGATATCTGCAAGCCTAGAAGAGAAAGTGAAGCTGACATGTGTTGGAGTGACACAAAGACAGAATCTAACCCCCTCTGTGGCATGTTGAGCTTAGCTGTCCTGATAAGGCTGCTAAGCCAGCACTAGCATAATCAGCTCCACCGTGCTCTCCTTAGCGCTGTTAAACATTTAGCTGTTGTTAATGAATTCATGGTTTTACATTTTTTGGCGATGAAAATCTTGGTATTTTGTAAAAAGTTACAGTTGGAGTGTATTTCAGTTTGTGCTCCATCTTATCAGCTCTATCTGTTCAAACAGAAAGGGCTGCATTCCCCATTTGCAAAAAGTGAAAGCACAGCATGCAGGCTAGTGGGGGGGGGTTTGGCGCTCGGGGCTTGGATCCTGTGAGGCAAGGTGGTGTCCACAATCGTGGACATTTAACCAAGTTCTAAAATTTTACATGTTTATTTGACTTTGACTTGACAGTTTTTAGATTGTCATTTTAGAAGTTTTCATTCTTTCAATTCAATCAGCACTTTGTTCTGCATATTGAACCTCTGGACACAAAACTAGTAATGAAGTTACCAATCATATTTACTGTAGATTAGAAACACCATAATTCACAGTATATTTCCATTAGTATTTGCCATAAGAATGCCCAGTAGACTCTTGTCCATCTTGTAAATACATCAGCTTCACTTGAACTGCTCAACTTCATGCAGCTGTTCGAATGTATTGTTGTTAAACAAGTTTTTTTTCTTGTATTAACAGGGAGTATGTGTTGGCAGAGGGTCAGTACGAGTATGAAAGGGCACTCTTTCTGGATCCTCCAGCTTTGAATCGTTTTGTAACTGCACTAACAAGTAGGTACAAACTGTCTCACTTCAGCTTCAACTATTTCCTTCCTAAGTGTAGTTTGGTTTTGTCCCCAGAAACTAGTTATAATCTAAACATTCCTCTTGTGTCATGAATTGGTCACTGCTAAAACAAATTCATTTACATTCAATCCCATTCAGGTCTATTAAGGTTAGTCTAGGCATGGGTCCAATCTGATACTGGCTGGAGATCAGCAGAGAATGCTGGATCGCATATCAGAGGGGGAAAAAAGAATGAATCTGATCCAATCCTTTCACAATTCTAGCCTGAAAAAACACATACTCACGTTGAGTGATGTGTTGTTGTTAGCTGTGTAGTTTTTCCTGTGAGGTAGTGGGGTGTTTGAGTAGTTTGAGCATAATAACCTACTTTTAGATGCTAATTTTAAGTGAACTTCAATTAAAAATAACTCATTTTGAAGCATACTAGTATTTGAAAACAGAAAGTGTTGGATTGGTATAGGTATCAGCACCAGAAAAAAAAGTGGAATTGGTATTGGTGGAATTGGTCAGTCTCTGATAAAATGTTCAAAACTTATTTGTTTTCAAGTGTTCAAACAATTTGTTAGTATTCTAACAATTTTCAATTATAGTGTAATAAAATTTTTCAGCTGTGTATTATAGAACCTCTAATATAAAATGGCCCAGTGACTATCCTTTGCCATAATCAGCCTGCTAGAGTATTATCTAACAATTTGTGCTGGGGCATATTATTATTGTCTTCAGTAAAGGCAACTCTAACAAAAGCTTTGGAAAACTGTTGAAAAGTTCCTGTTTTCATCTCTCCTGTTTGCGTATACAGTGCAAAGCACAGCAGTTAATTGAGCTAGACCTCACATAACCTTACTGAATGCATGAATGAATAACCATAATGAATACACAATGAGTTAATTAATGAATGCAAATACTCAGTGTGGTTGCCAAAATTCTGAATGTTTTAAGTAATTGTTATTTTTTTTTTTTCACTTATGCACACAAATCTCTTTTGGTCTCAAAAATCGAGAGTACCTGATAGATAAATTCTGAGATAAACCAGTCATTGTGACCTTTCCTAGAAGTTTGGCTTCCACCCAAAGTTTGACTAAATTCACAGTGATTCATTAGGTATGAATTTCCTATGAAACATGGATTAATAGATAATAACTATAATTGAGTGTGGCAGGTCACATGTACATACAAGTAAGAGTGAATTAGCCAATACTATTTTTGAACAAAAAAAAGAAACACAACCCAAGTTATTTGCTTACAATAGAGATTGGAGAGAGAAAAATCAGATGGACCTTCAGTATCATCCTTGTTGAAGTTGCCTTGATTTATCAACCTGGAAAGGAGGTTGTATTCTTTGTGTCAGATTTAGCTCTCATCTTCTGTATGTTTGTCTTTGTGTTTTTACATTCCCAGGTCAGATTATTGTCACCACACTCTGTGCGTTCCTCATGCGCACTCGCCGTGTGTGGCTCTTCTCTGCTCACTTGCTCCCTCTGCTGGCGTGTGTGTGTTCAGTTTCTCGAGACAGTATCCTCACACTCACCACTGTTTCCATGGGGATAACGGGGGCAGAGGTCGCTGTGTTCCTCCTCATGAATCTCTTTGTACCATATAGACTGGCCAGAGCAGCTTACAGTGAAATAGCTCAAGTAGAGGTAAAGATACTTTTAATTACATTTGAGTCTCTGTTAAAAGGATACACATACACTTTGAGTTTAAACACAGTGGGCTGCCAGATCTTTGCAATTCTCTGATGTCTCTATTGTAGATGAATGATTTGTACCGACTGCTGGCAGTGGGGGTGTCACTCTGGCATAGTTTTGCTGTGCCTGTGTTGTTCAGTGTCTTCTGGTTTGTGCTGTTTGGAGTTCAGCTCGTCTCCAATGCTGGTACCTCCTCTGCAATCCAAGAGGGGCTCCTTCTCTACCTTCTCACCAGGTACGCACTACTAAGCTGAGACTCGCTGATAGGTGAATTAAGTAGCCTTACATTTGGAATGGGAATTCAACCAGTTTTGTAAAGATTTCTTCATGATCAAATCGTCAAGATCTAAACACTGTCATTCAGATCAGGGTTTATTCACCAGGGTATATTTTGGTTTGTCCATCTGAATTTACATTACGACCAAATCGTAAGGCAAATTATTCAGTAACTGCATGAAATAAATGTAAATTTTTATTAATTTGTTTTGTAAAACCTCCTCTCAAATTAATAGAACATGTTTTATGATCATACACATATTGCTATATGCTTACAATTTACTGCTGAAAGCCAAAAATCTTATGTATTTTTTATAAAAATAATTTTTACAGAGTATATCACTGAAGGGATGCCATCTGTGTATAGTTTATAGCCCAGATTTGTGGAAAAATGGGTCGACTTTCAGTAGACAAAAAAAGAATTGTGAGTTCAGCTTCTTTTATTACAAGAGTTTAAAATTACATTACCCATCTATTTGACTGGAAAGAAGACAGTTACAGCTCTCATATGACACCCACCTTTTGAATGTAGCTTATGAAATATGAAAGTTATGAAGAATATGACGAAGTACCTTTTGGAACCACCGGTGGTCTCAAGGAGTTGAAAAGGTTAAAGCATCTTAGCACAAAGATGGTAGAGTGAGCATCACTCTGAATACTGTCTCTACCAGTTAAGATTATCTTTACACTAAGATGCTTTTGGGAAACTGGGCCCAGAGTGGTTTGATGTGAATTGCTCCATTCTAGGAAAACTTACTGAGTGAAAATTGTTCGTAGTAATGGTGATAAAAAACAGACATCGAAAGTGTTTAACTCCTCTAAAAGCAACCTCACATAAAGTTATTACACAAAATGGTTTTGAATATGCTGCTTGAGACATGGTTTTATGACAGTGTTGAGATAAGCTTTTAACCTACGACATATTTTTTACAGTACATTCAGGGTGGAGAGTCCATGCTTTTATCAGTATTGTATATACAAATTCAGAACACCTGTAATTTTACTTGTCATTTTGGGTAGAAAATAAATCTCAATGATTGTAAGAAAATCTCAATGATTGATTATCCAGACATTCAAAAAAATAAGTGGAATTAATTTTTGAACTTTCAACTTTGAGCCAATTCTTTATTAAACTCCTTTTTATGTTTTTTTTTTTATTTCCTCTGTTCAAATGTTGCAACATTTTAGGAAATATAATGCAGCAGGTCTAAATAGGATATCTTTTGAAAACAATCTAGTAATCTTGTACATTTGTGTAACAGATTTTTTTTTGTTGTGTGCTGATGTTCTGCTTTGTGTGTGTGTATGTGTGTGTGTGGGGGCATATAAGTGTGTCTGAGTGCTGTGCTAGCCCTTACTCTTTGCTGGGTTTGACGTTTGTGGTTTCCTATTCGGCTTTGGGACTCCTGAATCTCTGCAAGTTCTACCTGGGAGGTTTCACAGCTCTGCAGAACCACAATGTCATGCACAGGTAAGTGTGTGTAGTGTGTACATGCATGTGTTTATGTGTAAATATGTCTGTTGATGTATTTTGTTTGTGTATATGCGTGTGTTTTGTAGGGGTGTGACAGAGGGTGTGACTCTACTGTTGCTAGCTCTGCAGACTGGCTTGTTGGACATGGCGGCCCTGCAACGCTGCTTCCTCCTCTTCATCATTCTCTTCATTGTTCTCACTTCCACTCTGCAGAGCATGAGTGAAATAACCGAGCCCATTGTGCTTGGACTTGGTGCCAGTAGAAACAGGTAGAAATCAGATTTAGTTTCTTTTTCCATCAATTTTCCTGACATTCTTCAAAACATCTTCAAAGGCAAACTTCCCAGTCAGTCAATCAATCAGAATGAGATTTTCTATTGACATTTTTTATTGTAGGATTGCTGTTTCATGTACTGTCACGTTTTTAGTTATATATCAGTAAAGTTGTTTAGAGTGGTATAGCTCAACCGGACGCCTCATGGGCACATTGAACTTTTCTTCCCCTTTTCTCTTCACACACATGGTCATGTAATGAGTTTGGAGTAGGTGTCCTTCTCAGTAGAAGTGTTCACAGAGTGCAAGACATACACTGGCGTTCAAAAGTTTGGAATTGCTTGCCATTTAACAATTGTTAAATTATATATAATACTACCTTAGACAATGTGTGTTTAAATATTACAAACTATTTGTCAAAAGGTGTTTTAGATGTTGTATTCAATAGTTCCAGAATAGGAATTCTGTGAACAAAAAGGCAATAAAAGTAAGTAATATACTTATTATCTATTCACATAAATTTTTTGTTAAGCTATTTACTTTAAGATTTGATTCCCACTTTTGAAATCTGATTCATTTTGGATGTTATTTTTATTAGATCTTCATTTTTGATGTTATACAGCTTCCTCAGTAATTTTAGAATCTTCCACAGAGCAGTTAATCATTCTGGACACATCTGAAATTACTTAATTATTAACTGGTTGAAAAGTGATTCTAAACTTTTGAACAATAGTGTATGTGATGCAAGGGTCTAAGAACAACAAGATAGCTTGACACTGTATAGGAAATAAGATAAGGGACACCCCACCAGTTTAACCATATTTCAGTTCTTGTGGATGCTGTCTTTTCTAAGATTATTATGAGATGTGAAACTGATAAAATTCAAACCATGAACAAACAAATCTAAAGCTGTCTCTCTGTAGGAGTGTGTGGAAGCATGTACGAGGGCTGAGCATGTGCGTGTTTCTGCTGCTATTCCCTGCGTTCATGGCCTATAAGATCTCCCAGTTCTTCCACATGGACTTCTGGCTTCTCATCCTGGTGTCCAGCTGTATGCTCACATCACTGCAGGTATTCTCTGAGAGGTCACAGCCTGTACATTCTGTTGTAAGAAAAAGCCAAGGACCCAAGCTTTGTGTGCACATGCAGAACATATTACATAATGTTAACGGAGCTATAACATATCCAGTCTCAGCGATCTCAGTCTCAGCTATCGTTTGGTATGTATCCCAGGTAACAGGCACTCTGCTGATCTACTGCCTCTTCATGGTGGAGGTGTGGCGCAGCGCTGCTCTGCCTGGCCTAGATGAAGTGGTGTATTATGTGAATGGGGTTTGTCGGGTGCTGGAGTTCGCCGTGGCGCTGTGTGTGGTGGCGTACGGGGCATGGGAGTCACTGTGGGGCGAGTGGAGCTGGATGGGGGCATCGGTTATCATCATCCACTCCTATTGCAATGTATGGTTGCGTGCCCAGGCTGGCTGGAAGAGCTTCCTACTCCGACAGGAGGCAGCACGCAAGATCAATTCACTTCCACGGGCGAGCACTCAACAGCTACAGGACCATGGTGATGTCTGTGCCATTTGTTTTCAGGTCAGCATTAGGCCCAACTAGAGGGGGCTGTGGTTCAGTTATTGGGTATTGTTAGTGCATGTACCTCAAAAGTTGTGTCGTCATTCTGTAGTCAGCGTTATGCCCATATTATGGACTCTTAAGAGGTCTAACAGGTCTAAGCGGGTTTTCTCTATGACTCAAATGAATGGTGTTTTAGAAAATCACTACTGTTATGTCCTGTGTTAAACTAAAATGTTCCAAAGCCAGTATGTTCTGCCATATGGACATCGCCAGATCCTCTGAATTACAAGGCTGCTAAATAGCTGAAATATGACTGTTACTACATGCAAGCTAACACTGCTGCGCACAGAACTGCCATCATAAAACTGGCAACCTAACCTAAATACCCCACACAAACCAGCAAGCTTTGTCAAATGTGGAGGTCTTGGCAGTTTCAGGCTGCAGTTTGAGTAGCTGCTGCCTGTATATAAAAGTGATGACGTTGACAGTGCTTTGGGGCATTTTAGTTCGCTAGGCAAGGGGGGTGGGGGGGGGTTGGATGTGGGGTGAGGAATCCAGTCATTGAGGCCCGGGTTGCTGCACAGTTTAGCAATTTTCCTACTCAAGCATACCTGATTTGACTCATCAGTTAATTCAGTCAGATTTAGTTGGAGTGCCAGAGCAAGGAAAACGCCAGGCTGTGCTGAACTCTGGCCCACCCCTAATGTAAGGTAATGGTCATCAAGACTGTTCCTAGAGATCTACTTTCCTGCAGAATTTAGCTTCAATTTCTTATTTAGCTGGACCTGGTGTGTGAGATTTGGGTTGGATGTGAGGCCTACAGAAAAGAAGATCTTAGCCTGTATCCACAAACCTTCTGATTAGGAGTTATTATTTACTATTATATTTTATTTACTATTACCTTACTGACCGGAACGGGTCCTAGATCAGCACCCTTACTCTGAGAAGCTTTGTGAAGCTTTGTGACAAAACGTCCCAGATTAGGAGTGCTGATCTAGGAACTGTTCCAGTCAGTAAAGTCAAGGGGAATGAGAGAGGAGCCTGAGCCTCAGTCAGCAGGAGTGCTGATCTGGGATCAGATTTCTCTCTTTTTTTACTATTATCTTACTGACAGTATCAACAGTGAGTGACCCTAGATCAGCATTCCTTCTCTGAGAAGCTTTGTGAATATTGGCCCAGATCACATGTAGGACATGATAATCATGATGAGTACCTCTTTACTGAGATGGTCTGTGTGATAATGTTTTTCCTTTGAAAAACAAAGTTTTCAAAGGATGTATTTGTGGTGTTCAGTATCCTCTGCATTCTTGTGACCATTCTTATCTTCTCTCTACAGGATATGACATCAGCCGTGATAACATACTGTGGACATTTCTTCCATGGAAACTGTCTTAGGAAGTGGCTGTATGTGCAGGAAACATGCCCCATGTGCCACACCTCCATCAAACCACCAATATCGACCCCGTCAGCTGCTGCTGGTGACGCCCATCCTCACCCAGCTCAACCAGAGCCCCGCCCACCTCAGCAAGAGCCTGTCCCTGAGCATGCTGACATCCATCACGAAGAAGAACAGGGCTCAGAGGGACATGGAGCTCATTCACCAGACAAGGAATCTGAGTCAGGGGGACCGTACAGGAAAATGAGTCTGCATGACCTAAACTGTAGCTCCAGTGGAGACTCCAAAGTGATGCCCATCTCTGCAGGTGATGCCCATCCATACCCAATGCAATCACAGCCCCACACAGCTCAGCAAGAGCCTGCCCCTGAATATGATAACATCCAGTACAAAGAAGAACAGGGCTCACAGGGAGATGGGGTCCATTCACTGCACAAGGAGCCTGAATCAGAGGGACTGCACAAGAAAATGAGTCTGCATGATCTAAACTGTAGCTCCAGTGGAGACACTAAAAGATTGGACGCTGCTGTACCTTCCAGCTCCTCAGTAGGAAGGACTAACCAGCCCAGAGAGTCCAATTCAGTAATGGACTTGGACAAACAGAGTACAGGACAAGCAGAGAGCCATGACTTCGCTAGTTGTCCTCAGTCTCTCAGTGGTAGTTATCTGTTCTGCGAGCCATCAGAACATACTTGATGAGAGACTTTTAGGAGACTGTGGAAAGGCACAAGTCTCAAAGAACTTAATTACTGCCTCGTCGCTTATATCTGGGTACCAAAGACTACAACACTAGCATTTGTGGAGGAGTTAAGCTTTGTCTTGTCATGCTGAACATATGCTGGGTCCTCCATCACATTATCCTGTCAAGCAATACCAAATGTATTTATCTTTGACATTCTTGGAGCTAAAATTGTGTTGGAATGGTTTAATATGCCTAGGTTGTTGTGAGGTTGTCCAGGTTTGAACAAATACAGTTTCCTTTAGAAAGATTACCTGATTAACTGATGGAACTGACATTATTGTGCTGAAATACTGTACAGCAATTGAAGTAATTAACTTAATTCCGTTAACTTTTCAGGGCAAGTTATTGTTCCTGTCTTTCTTATGCCAGTGGGAAACTGGCATATCTGAAAAGTCTTCTACATGTTAAAGCTTAAAATCTGATGATTCAGATGAATGATGGTTGGGTGACTGCTATTCAACACAAAGTATGTAGAAATCCGATAGTGCCTGAAAACATTTCTGTTTCGCTCAGTCCTAATTGTCATACTTAAATTATGTCCTCATGTCCATTGCCAAACTGTTTTTTTTTTTATTCATGAAATTGTTGTTTAGCTGTTGCACCGTTTTATTCTTTTGCTCTTAGCTAGTTTAATTTTCTTTCTAATTATCTTGTTCTTTTCATGTTATTTTCTATTGACGGTACTTTCTCTATGCATTACACATATTACATACTGAGCCACTGTAAGTCTTCTCAAAGTAGAATAGTGAAAAAGCAAATCAGTGTCCCTCTCATTTTTTAAAATCTAAACAATCATATCTAACCATATCTCCTGTACTGTGATGTGAACCATGTTCATGTACTCACATTTCACAGACAACATGTATCAACAGCATTCCTTGGTCAAGTAAAGAACAGCAAACCTGATTTTATTTCATCCTAATGTCCAAACATAGATGTTGTCACCTGCATGTATCGTCTCTTTTATCAGTGAGGATATCTTTACTGCTGTTTCTGTTTCACTCTTCAACCTTTGTCTCTTTATCTGAGGCAGGACTTTTTGTTCCCAGTCTACCTGCACCATTTTGCTGAGCTACTTTCTCTTTCTGTCCTTTAAGCTGGGACAACTTTCAACCTGCTTTCTCTTGTATTAAATCAGTTCTGCCTTAGTATGTGCTGATAAGATGGGGATCATCCTGCTGTCTTTGCAGCAGCCTTATTTAAAGAGCCTGTATCCTACATTTTACTTGTTTTTTATTTCCCCCCTGAACTCTGTGGGGTTTTGACCCCAAAAAACAGCCATGATTTACTTTTACATGACCATTTTCTAACCTCACTTTGTCTCTTATAATTAAATAGGCTGATATAAAACTGCTATCTGTAAATGACCTCTGTTCTGATTGGCTGCCTTACATTGTACTTAATTCAAAAAGTAGTCCAGGCTAAAACACTGGGTGGCTTCATTTACCTGCACCAGTTCACCACTTATGTAGCAGTAAGGGCTGAAAAACTTGTTTAAATGATATATTGCCGGCACTTACAACCAGCTTGTAAATTGTTGCATAGCCTATTTATGATTCAAATTAAAATGTCAGCTGGAGCCAGAGCCTTCAGGCAGCAAAAGTGGGATACCCTAGATCATGTGCTGCTGATAAAGTGGAAACCACGCCCACTCAGCATAAGTGGGTGGTGCTCTAAACTGCTTTAGGCTGAATAGGTCGATTTATGTCAATGTCACAAAAACAATGAATTAAAAATGGGCTGTTTTGCAGCTTTGGTTGTTGATATGGATGGTGTGGACTGGGTAGTAAACAGGATGTTTTGAAACTCACAACATTAAACCTGTTTATTTCCAATCAGTGGGGAAAATTTGGTTTCCAACAGGGTTCGTTATCGTGATAAATTGTCACAATATGCTTTTCTGAACATATTGTGTATATCAGTACTTGTAGAACACTGACCAACTGCATGTTTCATTATAAAGAGAGCAAAAATAGTCCCGTTTAACTGGATTTGGTGCAGCACAGAATGCCGAATATTGAATAAAAACAATTGTATTCACAGTTTTTGATAGTATTTTTGAAATGTAGCACTAGTGGTTCTTTTTTCCCTGCTGAAAAAAAAACAGCATCAGACCAGCAAGAAATGCATGCTGGTCTGATGCTGGTTCAGCTGGTCACCCCAGCATGGTCATGCTGGATGACCAGCATACCAGCGTCAAAATGCAGTATATGCTCGTTTTGGTGGTGATCAGCTTATCAACTTTAATTGCTGCTGTCCAGCATCCAGAACACAACATATGGCTGCTGTCGGAACAAAACCTTGTATCTCCAGAAAAATAACTTTACAGTAGAATGAAAAACATTCTTAACTTTTAATGGATGTAAATGGAGAAAGAATTTATTTCCGAGTAACTTTCGACCATTTCTGTTGGTCCATGCATCATGAAATTTTGACACAACATAAAGGACAACTGCCTTTTTCGAATTATGTCATAAAATAAAAAATGACAAAAATGGAGATATGAGGTTTTGTCCCGACAGCAGCACTGTGTTGTTTTTGCTGGTGACCAGCAATGCTGGTCTGTGCTGGGTTTTCTAGCAGGGTTCTTAGTTCCAACTGATCAGATGTCTGAAAAAATACATATCATGACATATCATGTATCATGAAAATGTATTGAAATATCGCGATGTTATATTTTTCCCGTATCGCCCACCTCTATTTTCCAAGATATGGGCCATTTTCTCATGTTTCTTAGTCCATAATTCTACATTTGGAAAGTGGTGGAATGTCAGCATATCTGACTCACAAACATGTTTTTCTTGTTATAATTTTCATCTTCCGCAATATGCCGTTTTATTAAGTACTGTATGATTTGATGAACGGTGTCTGAGTGAGACTGAGTGCTGTAACGCTCTAGTACTTTCCATCGGTGCCGCGTCTCCAGTTCAGTAGGCGGCAGTAGAACATCGGCATCCTCCTTTTATGCGTCATTAAAAGCGGAAGGGTGGTCAACGTAACGGACATCTTGTCAGCTCAGAAATTACTTTTTAGTTTTATTTTAATTGACCACAGACCTGTTTACTTGTTTGCTCGCAGTACTGGTAGTCGAGTAACGGAGCGTTTCGCTGTATGGGAGCCGCTGAGCGTGTTAAAGTGAGTGTTCGTTAGTGTTTGTCTCTCAGTATCGGGATCGGCGCCGCTTTGGAGTGGAGGAGCTCCGGTTACTCTAACCGACACACGCAGTGCTCAGATGGCGCTTAAACGAATCCAAAAGGTAAGCTTCTGACCGACCAGTACGTCCCAGAAACAGCTCGGTACGTCTACTAAATGGCTTCCGTGATTACTTTGGAGTCGTGTTGACCCGCTAGCAAGTGTGGCTTCTTAGCGGTGGCGGTAACTGCAGGATTTCACCTCTTGGGACGAAGCTGAAGTCCTATTCGCCAGCTCGGATTTTCCCGTTCCACCTTAAGCGGTGCAGTAAACGGTAAATGTAACTGTTGCATGATTTAAGGTGGAACGGGAAAATTCGGATAAGAAGCTGTCGAAAAGGAAGCCAACTTCAGTCTCGTCCTCTTAGGTGACTTAGCCAGCTAACGTTGGTGTGTTTAACGCCTAAAAACTGAGTGAAACCACCTCAAACCTTGGTCTCCTGTATTCACGCTGAAGTAGGACGTTTGGACACAATCCTGTTGTTTGCTAACGTTACTTAAAGTCACCGTTGAGTCAGTGCTGCGTGGAAAAGAAACCACTCGTGAATAGACAGACGCTGCCAGCGCTGCAGTCGTACTGTAGATGTGATCAGCAAGATTTAATCTAGGATGAACAGTAATTTTGCTCAGTCGACAGTCAGGTATGCAGAAAAAATCGGAATCGTATCGGTTCCCTAAACGGAAATAACGAGGTAATGATTTGTTCATGCGTTATTGTGCCCATTAAATCAGACCCTGTGACACTGTGATAAGAGTTGGCGTTAACTAATCGACAGTTCGTCGTAAGTTACGCCACGATCTTCACTTGAATGCTTTTCGAAGCAGTTTCACAATTGAGGGGCTGCTGTTCCATTCCTGGTAGCGTGGATATCACTTTACCCCATTCACCGATGCTTTTCTTGGCACCTATTTCTGAGATATTTTTAAACTTTCTGTTGTTTCTGGTTTGGTGTGTTCTGTAACTGGTTTTCTGATCAGCCTTTTGAGGCCTCGTGGTATGTGCTGAATGTGTCAACCAGATTCTCAGATTTTAAAGCATTTCTCTGAGTTGTTTTTAGTTCAAGAATGTAGCTGCAGTTGTGCAACGCTCAGATGTTGAGAGTTGGATAGTTATGCCAGCTAACTCAGCGACCCCCCAAACCCCCCCCCCTTCCCCTCCATGAGATAGACTTCAGGTGTCTCCCCTCCCACCAGTAAAAATAAATGTTGGGCTCAGGATTGGAAACAGACATGCCTGTGTACTTGTTTAGGTTCTGTCCCACCCCCTGTCCCTCGTGACCCCCCTCCCAAGAGCTAAAAATACAGTCTGCCAACATGCTGCGCCCGCACATCTCATATTGCCACAATCATCCACAATCACCATGGTGACAGCATGAGTCACTATTGACCTTTCATCAGTTATGGAGCTTCGATGTGTGAATTATGATTACAGTGAGGAATATCCTTCAGGACGTCCCAACACACATTCCCAAAAATAGTCTCCTCTGTCTCAGTCGGACACAAACGCTTACACATACATGCATGTTCTCTTACTCACTTTATTTATTTATTTTGTGTGTGTGTGTAGGAATTGACTGACTTGGCCCGTGACCCTCCAGCACAATGTTCAGCAGGCCCAGTGGGGGATGATGGTGAGTCCCTGAACTGCAGTTATGGCACATAGTCCAAAACACCTCTGTCGATGTTACAGGTGAACTTCTCTTTTTCTCTTTCAGTGTTTCATTGGCAGGCTACAATCATGGGCCCTGTGAGTATGAATGAGTCTTATCCTGTTTGGAGTATGTCAGTGACATTTAAAGGGCCTATATCCTGCATTTTTTTAATCCTGCAGCCTGTGTATTATTTTGCTCTCCACTTATATTTGTGTGGGTTTACGTACCAAAAATGGTTGTAATTCATTTTTACTTAACCATTTTCTATCCCCTCTTTATTCCCTTAAAGCTAAACAGTCTGTTTTTGCCACTGTGCCTTTAAGACTACTATTTTGGCACTGTTGGGATAAAAACCTTTGCAGAATAGTATCTTTACAGGAGAGGAAGAAAATCCTCTTAATCTTTAATACAGCAAAATGTGTAATTTATAGTCATTTTTATTGGTCTATTCATCATGACTTTTTCACATTTATGTAAAGGGCAACTGGCCTTTTCAAATTATGTGTAAAAAAAATAAAAAATACATTTAAAAAAGAAAATGCAATGCTACAGTCATCCGTAAAAAGGAATCAAAGAGAGCACGGGTCCCCCATTACTCAGCATGATGCCAGCCAGTGCAGGCGTCTGTTAGTTGACATACCAGAACTGGCGGTTAGCGTTCTCCTCAGAGCCTGCTTAGTTTGAAGAGATGTGGCGGCTGGTTTCACATGACTTGGAGGAAGCTTGTGTTTGCCCCCCCTTGCGCTGGTGGTATAAATGAATTATGACAAAAATAGAGATACAAGGTTTCGTTCTGACAGTGACAACATGGTAATAATCTCTGACTGAATTACATGGAAATAACCTCTAACCGCTGATTGACTGCCCTGTTTTGTGTTTCATTCAAAAGGCTGTTGAAACACTTGATTTTCATAACATCACAAAAACAATGAATTCAAAATGAGCTATTTATGCAGTTCAGTTTATATATGAACTGGGGAGTAAATTGTACCATTTAAAACTGTCACTGTTTACATACTACGTCAAATTCTTAAAGGGGTATATGATGACATGGGCCCTTTAA